TATCTTTTGATTTGTACCAAAAAAAAATGTTCTTAATTTCTTTTTCAATTTATGTTTTTAAACTAAAATTTTTATTTATTTTTAGTCTTTGAATTTTTTTTAATAAATATGTCAAAATTTAAAATGTTAACAGTAGAAAAATTTAAGTAGTAAAAAGGGTGCCATGGGCTTTCGGGCCAAATCATGAAAAAAAAAGAAAATAAGACTCATTTAAACCCTACTTCAAAACTGCTGCTTCACGACCCACCACACCTCTCCCTCTCTTCAACGCTCCCTCTTTCTCTCGTTCCGACGCTCACTCGCCGGCCACCACACGTCCTCTGTTATCGTTCCCTCTCTGTTAGGTATTTCTTTTGTTTCTCTTCAGTTTCGTGTGTTTTTGGACAAAACCTTATCCTCCCCTGTATTTTTCTCTTCGGATTATATGAAAAATATCATAATATCTTGGTGTAATTTAGAGTGTGTTGGATTTTCTCTTCGGATTGATTTTTGTAGTTCCTTGTATTTCATGATTTGCTTCCTTATTTGTTTAGGATTATGAGTTTAATATTCAAATAAATGGTGAGTAATCCTTTTAATGAATTTAGGGTTTAGGGTTTCAAAAACGCATATCAGATAAATTGAATTGGCAAGGAGACCCATGTCTTCCAAAGCAATAAGTCTCGAAACAATTTGCTAACCGGTCCATGCACCTTAGACAGCAATTTCCTAATAATATTCTAAATTGATATACAAGTTGCGATGTATCTTTCGTGTCAAATTTGCTTAAATCTGGCTAAGCGCGATAGTTATATATTGTTGAAATATTGCAGTACTTCCAAAAATAATTGGACTTATTAAAATCTTATTTTGTGTTCTCATTGTTTGAAAACTCTTAACCCATCTTAAAATACAGAACTATCATTCTCTTATTCTATTATTTTATTGTTCCTGCTTGAAATTAATTTGGGGTGTTGTTCTTGGTGACTATATTATACTCTTATTCTTGATCCAATTGGCACTGCTTTCAGGTTTTAACATGTTGGGTTAAGAAACCAGAAAAGACAGTTCCAAAGCCTTGATCAGAATCGAAGGCTTTGTAGTAAAAGAAACCAAGAAAATAACAGAACAAAGATTAGGGAAAAGTTCTGTAAGTTTGAATCTTTCTTAGAACTACTAAATTGATAATTAATTTTCTCAGCCAGACACTTGGATAACATATAATTTATGATTTATTGTCTTTGCAGTAATCTGACAGGGAACAAGCTTTCTGGTCCAATTGCTAAGGCTCTCAAGGATAAGGCAGATAAAGCTTTGCAATTAAGGTTTGTAGAATAATATTTTATATTCTCTGGTTCAATTGTTGTCAAATGTCCACCTCTTGTTTCATTTGATTGACCCCCTTAACATGAATTGTGAATTATTGACCAATATAAACAACAAAGCTGTTTATGTTTGCTTTATATTCTCTGTCGAGCCATCCTATGTATTATGTTTGCTTCTGTTGAATTTTTTTGCCAAAGGACTTTTTAAATATGCTTTTAATTGCAAATTCTCAGGTAAATAATTCTATATGCTTTAAACACTAAATAGATTAAAATAAATAGACAAATGTTAAAGATATAACTATTACCTATGAATAGAATGATAAGTAAAACTGTCACCATCCAATCAGCAAACATGACATTACATATAACACCAATGCTTATTCCGAGCATTAGCATAGGCTGGAAAATCAAAGCCAGGTCATAATCTATCAGTGGCATGTCTAGTGTTGGGTGTCTAAGCCTCAGATTGTAGTATACAGTTGATATAGATGCACCCATAATCATACCTGAGGTTATGAAATTGAAATCAAAGCTATGATATATATTACGAAGAATCCAAAAAATGAATGTTGCAATAAATCAAGCCATTTGTAACGACCCGCTATGGTCTCTACACTTAGTGGAATCG